CTGGTGAACTCCTGCTGGCCAAGCTGTCTGGTAGGTATAGCTAAAAAAGCCGGTTTTGGAAAATATTGCCTTTTTATAGCTTATCTCAGTGCAGACAGCTGCCTCACGTCTCTAGAAATAGCAGGATTTAACAGCCATGTTTGCAGGGACAGATTTTAAAGGTTCCATCTTCTAAGAAACAACCTACACATCCAGAAACAGGAGGCCAGATTTGTTTTGATACTGGAACCCCCTTCCATATGCTAAGCATGCCCACGGATTTGCAAAAACCCTGCTCTGAAAATGGGATGTTCATTCAGCAACAGGAGACAAGTTACTTGCGTTTGTCTTCCTATGGAGTCTGTTCCCAGCGCAATCAGCGGCAAAATGGCACATGATTAGGCTGATATTGCCTTTTGCTGAAAATCACTGGCATTTTGTAAGTAAAATAGTGGTGGAGCAGAGCGTTAAACACTGGAAAAACAAGACTAATAAAGTTAAATAAAAATACCCTGCAGCTACAGCTGATCAGCACCTCTCTGTTGTTCCTCTTCGGATGGAGTGAGCCAGGATCAGATCCCAAACATGGTTATGATTCGTTGGAGGTGATAGAGACAGAGCTGTGGGCTGCGTTCCCAGGTCGGTCCCACGGCTGCAAACCCCAACTCCCTGAGCCTGAGGAGCCCCTTCAGCCGCCCCACCTCCATTGCATTTGTGAGTGCAACAGGGATGATGTTATTTTCCTACCGTTTAGTAATAACAAGTCTTTTTAGATAAAAAGCGCCAAATTCTCATGAATTTAACACTGGATGATCTGACGCTAAGGATGTAAATGGCTCTGAATACAACAGGGCCTTGCAAAATGTCCACAGTACCACCTTTTACCAGCAACAGTTGGACCAGTTGTCTACAGCATCGTCCTCATTACAAGATTTATTTATTTATTTCTAAACTGAATGAAGGGGTACTAAAGACAACAACCTGCTGTGAAATGACCGAAATTCCCATGCAAACAACCCATTAGCAGTCTTCAAATGCAATTTAAATTACTAGTTGTTAAAGTGCTCCTCAATTTCATGGTAAGTTTCCAAGGAAAATTACATGCTATGTACTATTTAATTGATTGTTTTCTACTTCTTAACATCCATTTATTCCCTCCTCCTGTCTTTTTCTTAATTTCAAGAGATGATAATGACTTTTCGGGGAGGAAAGGGGAACGGCTAACAGAGTTGAAGAGGGATTTACCTGAAGAAAAAGGATGTAGGAGGGAAGTGGCTGCCAAAAATGGGCAGCTCCACTGGAACTCATCCCTGTGATATTTTCACAGTAGGGGTGCGAGACAGCACAGCACAAGGACTTCTTCCCTCCCCACCGCAGGCAGCCAGCCTTTCAAAACCTGATGTTTCTTTAAAACGTACTCATCCTCACCATGCCAAGCAAGAAGCACAGTTAACTATTAGAAGGCAGTGGAAAAGCAACAAAGGCAGCTTGTTTCCTCCTCCCGGGCATGGTAGTCCTTGAACCGACGTGATCGCTTGGAGGCAAACAAGTTTTTCTCATTCGGGAGATCTCATCCCAAATGCAAATACCTAGTTCACAGGAGCAAATTCCCCCCTCAAAGTTGACTGAAGAATTGGCCTTCGAGCGAGACCTCCTGCTGCTTGCGACAGCTGTTACCCAAGAATGTGTATTATAAAGCTAGTAACAACAGACATTTCTTAAAAGCCTGCACTTTGCTCAGATCCTGGGAAGGAGCAGCGGTACAATTAGGTAAGGTGCCATCTGGAAATTCCTGAAGTAATGATGCGTATTGGGATCATGTCACACACCAGCAACACGTATCAATTGTATGAAATACGCAGTACAACTCTGGTTTACCATCAAGCAACTGATGCAGAAATACTTAGTGCTCAGGAAAGTATGACTTTATTAGAGTAAGAGAGATGGGTTTCACAGTGCTGGTCAGCATGAGGCTGCAAACTGCCCGCCTGTCTGCAGGAGCTGAGCATGAACCGTCAGGTGGAATCCAGAGATTTGCACTTTTCCCAAATTTGCCACACGGTGCCTCAGTTTCTACACCTGCACACTAGAATAATACAGCTTTCCTTAGCCTGTGGGCATGATTTAGTGTTCAAGGGCTCCAAAATCTTTGCCTACAGAAATGCGAAGTATCAGACGTGTAGAGCCGTCTAGGCTTGTAATCTGGTCTCACCTTCATCCCTTCCATGCGCACGTGTGCTAGCCCCATGCTATCTGGGACAGCTTACCTGTGGTGGGGCACGTACACCCAGCCCTTCGTGCACGCTAAATCCCCTCACAGCACCCGAGTCACATGGTGACAGTGCCACCGTTTCGCCATGTCCTGTGCGGTGCCAGCCCTAGATCGATCAGTGCAACAGCCAGGATGAAAGATGGGCTGCGACCCAATCCTCCTTATGTGGGAGCTAAAGCAAATCCTGTGTTTAATACATCGTTAGAAGCGATTGAAAGAAGCTTAAGGCAGGCAGGCATAGAGTCTCTGAGCGCACTCGAGCTCCAGCACCATGGAAGGATTCTCAGAGTCGAGTGTTTACAGGGTGCCAGGCTGCAGAAGGAAAAAAATCTTTAGACAAGCTGTATTAATTTACAGGTCAGCCCTTAATGGCTCTGTTCCTGTAGCAGAAGAAAATCCACTGTGGATCCTGGTTAGCATCAGTGATCACTGGATCTGCCCAGTTCCTGGAGAAATACCAGACAGAGAGCCCTGGCAGCCTGCAGCTCTAGCTGTGGGCATCCTCCATCCTCCGGAGCTCCCCTAGTCCTGCCCAGCACCCATCGGGGGGGCACAGGTGGCACTTGGGGAGCTCATCCTTCACAGTCCATCCAGCTCTCAAGTCACGTCCTCACCACGATGAGATGTTGCGCAGAGAAGGATCAGCAGGTGAAGATTAATGGCCCCAGCGTGTTTCCCCCGGCGTGCCAGAGGAGCACTGCCCTGAGCCCCAGCTTATGGCACCCAGGCACTGCTCATCCTTGTCTTCCAACAAGCAGCCTGTCCTGGCGAGCAGGAAAGGGGGGAAACTGCGAGGGGAACAGAACATCATCACTTCCAGTTCTGCCATGCTGTGTCCGATACACCAAGCTTAGCCACAAGCAGCTGGCAAAGCCTGGACACGCCACATCCAAGTGCCACCAGAAGCAGTGGCTGACCCAGGGTGCGACAGAGCGGGGGAAGCGTGGTGTAGGGAGGCAGCATCGCCCGTCGCACAGGGCCATGCATGCCAAGGCAAAGCGCAGCGCACAAGGAGCGACACAGACGGCCAGCTCACTGCCCCCCACGGCTTCGCACCACCACGCGCGACAGAGGACAGGTAGCTCCTTGGCAAGTCGATAGGCTGAGGCTTCGCGTGCTGCAACAGCCCCATGTGCTTCCCAGTGCCCTGTTTTCCAACCCATCACCTGCACCGTCAATTCAGGCTGTACGCTCTTTAGGCCAGCAGTTCTTTCCTTTGCACCGGTACTACACCCAGACCAGAAAGGCCCTAACCCCAAAAGCTGCGGTAACCCAAGCAGCTTGTTGAAACAACAAGGATTAAAATGCAGCTGAAGTCTGCAGACTCCCAACACATCCCGTCCACGTGAATACACTCCAGAGGTCCCTTCATCACCTTTCGTGGCTGAGTGCTTTTCAGCTCGCCTCCCATCCTCGCCCAAACTAAGCCAAGTATCTTCCCCTGCCCAGAACAATCAAGCCAGTTCTGCACCTCAAGGACGTGCTGCAAATCCACATCTCTGGAACACCAAACCTCACACTGCTTATTAATCCCTATTTAAAAGGGCAAACGAAAATCCACAAGAGATTTACCTTTCTAACTAAGGTCTTCAGTTTAAAACAGGGATTGCATGATAACAACAGGCTTGAATCAGCCTAAAAACACCAGTTAGCCAAGAAGATACAGGCGTCACTAGCCAGCAGAAGGAACTACAAACTGTGTTTCACCAATGCCCCTTCCCAAGCAAAAGGACGAAGCACAGCGCCTTCTGTCCGAGGCACAGGACCGGCTGCCTCGCAGCCCCTGGCGCAGCGCTAAGAGCACTCGGTACATGTTACATGCTCCAAATGACAGGAGGAATGCGGGACAGTGGATCTCCACTCCAGATTCCCCGGCATGGTTTTAGCTGCCATGAATAAAACAGGAAGCAGAGCATCTTCCAGGTTCCCCCCATGCCCCTGCCCGCCTCGATGAACTGCAGTTTCCTTTCAGGAAAGGGGAAGAAGAGGGGGGGGCGCGGGAAGAGAAGGAGCCAGCTGCAATACCAGACAGATTAAAAACTTCACACTAAGGAAAAATAAAGAATAACAGGAAAAAAAACAGATGTTGAACCTTCATCCAGTTACAGCAGCTAAACTTCTTCAGGTCCCTAACAAAACAGAGCTAAATATTAATATTTGAGAGAAATATATCCATACATTATGCAGACTTTTTAAAACACACTCTTGCTTAGGAGACAGAAATCATACTTCAGCTATATTTTCCTTGCTGACCACATGCATATGTACTCATTTAACTCCACGGTGCTCTGCTGCCTTGCTGCATTAACCAGCAAAACTAAAAGGAAGAACGTGCCTGAATGGGAGCTGGCTTCAATTATCTTTATACGTAGGCCTGAAGAGACATTTTGTCTTTGAGACCAATCCACCAAGGCAACTTTC